TCTTCTGTGAACCAATAAAGTCTGTGAGTGCTTTAGAATGTTATTTTTAAAAGATTGTTATAAATATTTGCTAAATTTGAGATTGATTGAGTCCTGTTAATGGAACTGAAAATGGATTTATCATAACATTTTTAATCAGAGTATCTAGTTTAGTAACTGAGAGCAACCCAACTTTTAATCATTAACAATTACTCTAGAAACATACGCTCCACTTTCTAGTTTCATAGTGTACAGTAATGAGTTTCTTAGCACATTAATAATACAAAAAGTTAAAAGATGATTATTGGTGTCACCATGTCCAAGATGAACACGTGAATCATAACACCCTCTAGACGTTCCACTGACAGTTGTAACTAGTGAAAACTTATTCAAAAAGGGGCCTAGGTCAATTTTGAAACAAGAATCTTGCATTCTTAAATTCATATAACAGATAACAAATAACAAATAAAGTTTGTCAGTGGACATAGTGTGCTTGGTATTTCTCAAATCATAAGTGCTGTACTGACAGATTTTGGGTTCCACTGCTTCCTCCCTACTTCCCATTCACTAACTGCCAAATCCTTCACCTCCCATTCAGCCCACCTGTATCTGTGCCCTGAATCCGGCACCATCTCAGTCACATCCCACAGCAGAGTGGTCCTGTTGGGAAGAGTGATGGCAACCATTTCAGACTGCCCTAAAGTTCAGCGGCATAAGTTGGTGTTCAGGTCCAAGTAAAAGTGGCAATGTGGTTCCACATTCTGGAGATCATGGATTACACCCTGGACAGTCCTAACATCAAGCCTCTGTCTTTGATCTGATATTATCTTTCACTTCCCTTGTTGGCCATGGCACTCTTGTTTCTCCTGTTGGATATTTTTTGAAGCAATGAACATTTAATGAAAACCAAGCATGACAAACCTTTTAGTGTACTTTTCCAATCAACCACAGCCAGCTTCTTCCTCATGCCTTCAGAATTTCACATGCAGATTGAAGGCATCAGTTTCAGGTGAAATATATCTTTTTCAAACTTAACAGAACATGCCATATTACTACAGTCACTATTTCCTAAAGACTATTTTACAAAATGTTATTAAATCAGCCTTTTCTCATTTCACAATACTTGATCTAAAATAGTCTATGTTCTTGTTGATATCTCAACGCATTGAAACAAACCTACCAAGAATTCTTCCTCCACTGTATTGCTGTTTATTAGATGTACCAAGTCCATATGTAGATTGAAGTCATGCACAACTATTTCACCTCTGCTTTCCTGATTTATACATTGTCCTATACATTATACATTACCACTTTGGTCTGGTGGCCTATAAATTACATCTATCAATGTTCGTTGGTCTTTGTACTAGTTTACTCAACCCAAACAGGTTTTACATCTGTTTTTCTGTTTAGGAGATAATCTCACAGTAATACACCGATCCTTTGTTATCAGCAGTTCCCCCATCTTTCTTCTCTTTTCTGTCTAACACTAGTTTCAAATACCCTTTAAAATACAGTTACCAGCACTGGTCACTATGTCTCCCTAATGGCAATTAAATCACACCCTTTCACGTCTACGAGTACCATCAATTCACTTATCTTGTTAGGAATGTGTTTGCATTCTGATAAAAAAAAACAAGATTAAGAGCATTTTAACACTATTTTGTACTTAAATGTGAATTAATTCTACGCATCATTTCTGCTGTTTTCCATTTGTATTTACAGCTTTTCAACTTCTAATAACCAACTTCGTTTTTACTACGAATCTCCTCCTGCCCTTGACAAACTAGCTTGAAACCTTTCCAATAGCAGTAGCAACCCTTTTCATTTTCATTTGCTCAATTTTCCAACTTCTGTATTTAGCAGTAAAATGTACCAGGAATAGACTTTAGATAACTGCTTCAGAGCCCCTGCTTTTCGCTCTATTGCCTACTTCCGTAAATTCTATTTTTAGGACCGCACCCCTCTTTCTACTTTGGCACTAGTGCCAACCTGGACCACCAACTCAGATTCTTCACCCTCCACAAAAGAATGCCACAGCAGTTGCAGAATATTCTTGAACCTGGCACCAAGGGGGCAATATACCATCCTGTAAGACATATCTGTGACCAAATAAATGCATTTCAGTTCCACTAACAATCAAATCACTGCCACCATTGCCCTTCTATCCTTCTTGCTCTCCAGCCTGCTCAGCTAAGCCACATGCAATACCGCAAGCTTGGACCTCGGTACATTTTTTTTCATGAAGCATTGCCCTGACCTAAATACAAAGTAGGTCACGAATCAGTTAGACTCAGAGGACACCTGTACTAGCTGCATGGTTTTTCTAGACTGCAAGGCAATCACCTATTCCCTCTCTTCCTGCCTGGTCTTAACCTGTATTGGAGATCACTTGGTTAAGCATGCTTGAGCACTGCTGAAGTTTCAAAATAAGATGATCACATTTTTGGAGCTGGAAACACTTTGTGTGCAATGATCATCTAAGTCATGTGAAATATCCACAATTCCCCAGCTGGCTAATTCATGCAGGCTAGCCATGCCTCAAGCTGAATTTCAGACTAGTTACTTTAAACTGGAGATTAAAAAATAGTACAAAGTAAAATTACCAACCAATCAACTCCAGTGAATCTAAGTGTCTGGACAGTTTTCTCTCCTGCTCCTCTAAGTGACGCAGACTGAATGTCTCAACATCCTTCTCTTGCACAGTCCTCAAAGTGCTGCTGACTGTCTCAGTGTCTTCTTTCACCTACTCCTTTAAGTGCAACTAACTGCCTATTAGGTTCCTCCTCCTTGGGGCCACTGACTATCTATCTCAGCGTCCTTCCTTCATCTGCTCTTCTCGGAGTCACAAATGGCCCATGACAGGGTCTTCCACTCACCCTCTCTTAAGAGTTGCTAATGCCTGTCCTGGGGTCTTTCCCTTATTCTTCCTCTTGTCTGTTTTTAACCTTATGCCCGCTCTCTTTGCTCCCTTTGCATGTCTCTGTACTTGTTTAATACCTGTTAAGTCTCTAAACAACTTCCAGTCTTACAAGAGATCACTGACCTGAAGCATGGATTTTATTCCGCTGTCTACCAACTTAGCCTATTTTCTGTTTGCGTGTCCACGTGGTTCAGTTGATAGTTTGTGCATTCAACTCCAGGTCTTGAGTACAAAAGTCAAGACTGATACTCCATTATAATACTGACAAAATAAGTCAAAACTGGCTGTGTCATCTTTTGGATGAAACATTAAACTGGGGCCCTGTTTGGCCCTACTGGTTGGACGTAAAAATCCCATGTCACTATTTCAATCAATGGACTGTGTATCCTGCACAACATTTAGTCCTCAATCAACATCACAAGAAAACACATTTTCTGGTCAATACTACATTGCTGTTCACGTGATCTTGTCCTGCACAGGCCAACTTTCAAGTCTTTTGTATTACAACGTTTATGCTTCAAAAAAGTATTTTAAAGGCTACAAAGAGCTTTGAGACATTTGACTGTCATGAAAGGTACTTTATAAATACTTCTCGTTTTTTAATTTCAGTCGAAAAAATTCACACAGCTTGTTATACCCACTCAGTTTCTTTCTGCAATCAAACCATTCATTGAGTGAAGTGCTGTATGAAAACACTAATTAATTTAATGGTATTATGCAAAATGTGCCTTCCAAGAAAGACTTGGTTTGCATTTATACCTGATTATTCATATGCTGAACATTTCCTTATGGCACAGGAATAAATATCATTAGCTGAAGTGCCTTCCTACCTGTTCTCTATATTTAGTAATTGGCAATTCTGGATATTTATAGTCAGCTACTTCCATCATACTTATTGTCTTTAATGTGGAAAGAAGGGGTCTTGATGTCAGAAGGGAAATGCCAGGAAGGTATTCATCATCATTTTCCAAGAGGCTGCTGTCTACCTCTAGAAAACATTCAAAGGTTAATTTAATTAAAATACATTTTCCTTGGGAATTTTTTCAAATGTAAATATATCTGACAGGTAAAACCATCAAATTTAAACTGACAAGCTTTATCAAAATATGTTGCTAAGACAGTCACCAAATCACTGCTCACCAATATAAAGCGTTACAGCAAGTAGATACTAAACGAACATAATTCTGCAAATTAATCTCAAGCAATCTACAATTTTTTGTTTAATTTAATTCCACATTCAACAGGGTGGATTTTCAGCTTACCACCTAACCATACAACAGATATTGCAGCTCAGCTCTCCAATAGCTAATACTTAAATAACATAATATCTCAGAAGCACAACAATTAACAAGCACAACAAATGCATCAAAAGCAATTCTGCCAGCCTTGCTGACTGGAGTGTCAAATACCTTAAGAAATACATTTTAGGCAGTGGCATTTTTATATGCATCACATTGAGAGGTTCCACTGGCAATATAATCAGAGTACTAAAGCTCAACAGTGCGTTTGTCTCAAGAAACAGACATTAGTTTACTCAAAGGAGAAAACAAGCAAGACAAAATGTTAACAAAAGGCCTCCAGAGAATAACTAATTTTGCTATGTTAAACTTTACAGAACAGATGCCCTAGCAATTTGCAGGTTTCTATTTCATGACGAGAAAGGGATTGGGGAGCTCAAACATGGAGAAAAGAAGGTTAAAATGAGCAGTTTTAGTGCTGATGAATGCATGAAATAGTGACATCTGAAAAAGTAGAAAACATACACGGGGATTCAAAGATGGGATTTTATTTTAATTAATTCAGGGCAATCAAGCATCGCTAGCAAAGCAAGCATTTTTACCACCCATAATTTTTCTGAGAATGTGGCAGTGAGTTGTTTTCTTTAACATCTGCAGTCCATGTGGTGCAAGTACATTGACAGTGTTGTTCAAGAGGGAGATCCAAATTTTTAACCTAACTACAGAGTCAGATGGGGCAGTGCTTAACTAGGAGGGGGATTGCTTTTATTGTGGTCTCCATGCTCACGTTGCCCCTTGTCCTTTTAATTGATAGAAGTTGAGAGTTTGGAACATGCTTCCAAAGAGGTGGGAGGAGATTGTTGAAGTGTATCTTGTAGACAGTACACAATGCGTCATTCTTGACCAGTGACAAAAAAGTGAACGCTGAAGATGTTAAATCGGGTAGCAATTGAGACTGGTTTTGTCCTGGATGGTGTTGAACTTCCTGAGCATCGTTGCAGCTACATTCATCAAAGCAAGTGAACAATATTCCATCTCGCTCTTAGCTTCTATCTGTGATGGGCAAGTGTTTGGGAATCAGCAGTGAATTGTCTATCACAGTATTCTCAACCCCAATCTGTATAAACTATGCTTACACTACTGAACAATGCAAATATCATCTCACTGGTGGCCCCCAGAATAAGAATGGTATTGTTTCAGCAATGGCAAAGCTGTTTCATGTTGCTTAATGTGAGGTGATTGCTTGACAGTTGTCCCAATTTTGATCAGGAACCCTTGATATTAATTTGGAAGATTTACAAGGCCAATTAGAAAGGGTGCACCCTGTCGTTTTCAGTGTCTGGATCCATCTAGTTTATTATTTAACATTGCCAATTTTTGATACAACAGAAAAGTTTGCAAATAGAAGGTCATAGTGATAGAATGCGGTATTGGGAAAGTTCACAATCAGGCAAATAATTCAGGCTCTGAGACAACACATCAGATGATCTAAAGCTTGAGGGAAGTGTTCAATTTTCAAAGAAAATCTTAAAAGCAAAGAGAAAAGGCAAAAAGCTTCCAAGTGGACAGTATAAAATTAGAACTAAATACCCGAGAACAAGACACAGTTCTGTCGTGCTCCAAGACTATGCTTAAACTGAGCCACATGAGAGAAGTGGCTTCATAATAACACCACAAGCAGAACGCAGAAATCATTGATTGAAAATGCCAGTATAAACTTGTCAATCTAAAAAACGGTCATGAGAAAGTATAAAGTAGAAAATTTACATAAATATAAGAAACAAAGAAATTAGGCTTTATGCATGTTTCAGACATGAAAAGTTTCAACACACTTAAGATATAAAATTAAGTATCAAGAATATCCAATAAATTCTGTTTCATCTTGCAATATTTACAGGATTTTTCCAACGGTCATCTAGATTTATTTGGCAACTGCAGCTTTATGTCAAAAGGAGTGGAAAGAAAGAAAGAGCGAGCACTTGGTCATTCTATATTGCAAGTGGTTCTATCAAAGTTTGGATCCGAGATCCCTAACATCCACTTGCGGTTCAGACTGGATTTATTGTCAAAATATGCATAGACAATGATTATTACACCAATAAAAATATTCTTAGACTGCAGTTTTATTTTAACAAGTATTAAAACTATTCCATCTGCCATGTATCTGCACAGCAACTTTGCAAGTTCATGCTGTAATCTATGAACCTGTTTGTAGTCAAGCATCAGCTGAAAAATACACAACTTAATACAATATTAGTGATTCCAAGAGTAGATCAACTGAAATTTATGATTTATCACTTTACATAAAACAATTCTATCAGACCTGCTCCAGGAAAAGCCTCCCAGCGAGTGTTTTTTTGGTCCTTTTGATCTCTGGAACTATTTGCATGTTCAACCTTAGTCATCTGTTCTTCTAATTCACAGCTGAAATAAAGGAAAGGATTGCTAATGTTCAAATATTTATTCCAATGTTAACTTTGGAATTTTAGCTTAAACCTCTAGATAGTCAAGTTTCTAATTACCGCCATAAGCATATTGTGCAACTTCTTACATCACGGAGAAATTTGGATTTAACCAAATCGTCTTTCAGGGCCATATAACAATGTTTGTTTTCATTCTTTCATGGGATGTGAGCATTGCTGCTAATACTGGAAATGTTGTTCAGTCTTAATTGCTACTGTGGTCCATCTCGTGAAGGTATACCTACATGACTTTTAGGAAGAGGGAGGGTTTACAGAATTTTAACCCAGCAACACTGAAAGAACAACAATACATTTTAAAGTCAGGATGCTGTGCAGCTTGCAGGGCAGCTTGCAGTTGGGTTTCCATGCACCTGCTAAAAGTTATAGGTCTGCAAGCTACTGAAGGAGGCTTACAGAGTTGCTACAACGCATCTTGCATATTATATGCTGCTGTCTCTGTGCATTGTGGCGGAAAGAGTGGATTGTCAAAACGCTGGATGGGTGTCAACCAAGCAGGCTGCTTTGTCCTGAATGGTGTCAAGCTTTAATGTTGTTAGAGCTATATTCATCAAGGTAATTGGACAGCTTTCTACCACACATTTTCTTATGCCTGGTAGATGGCAGAAAAGCATTGAAGAGTCAAGTGGAGAAGCACTGGCTGCTGAAACAATTGTCAAATAAGGAGACCGGTAAAACATCCCACCTCATTCAACAGCTTTCTCCAGAAATATTTACAGCGAGGTTATCAGACAAAGAACAGAAATTCTCCTCACATCAGTGACTTTTTACCTTCCCTGCAATGGGGGTATGCCTCAGCAGCATACTCCATGAAGAATCACTGATGGCGTTCTGGATTTCAGCATTATTTTGAAAATAAGCAGACTTGTCAACTCAATCTGAATTGTAGCAAGGCACCACTGGAAGTCTAGGTCACTATTTTCCTGTCATAGAGTGATATAGTCATACAGCACAGAAACAAACCCCTCAGTCCAAGCCGAACATAATCCCAAACTAAATTAGTCCCACCTGCCTGCTCCTAGTCCATGTCCCTCCAAACCTTTCCTATTCATGTACTTATCCAAATGTCTTTTCAACACTGTCATTGTACGCACATCCACCATTTCAGCAGGAAGTTCATTCCCCACGTGAACCGCCCTCTGTGTAAAAATTGTGCCCCTCATGTCTTTTTTTAAAATCTCTCTCCTCTCAACTTAAAAATGTGCCCCCTAGTCTTGAAATCCCCCATCCTAGGGAAAAGGCAACTAATATCAACTCTGTCTAGCCCCTCATTATTCTATAAACTTTTATAAGATCACCTCTCAACCTTCTACGCTCCAGTGGAAAAGTCCCAGCCTTTCCTTATAACTCAAACCTTTCGTATGAAGCAATATCTTGGTAATTCTCTTCTCCAGCTTAATAATATCCTTCCTATAACTGGGCAACCAGAAGTGGACACAGTATTCCACAACAGGCATCACCAGTGCGATTTGAACATGGAAAGGATCACACCTGCATATCCTTCCTGCAACTTGCTGATAGCTTGGTTAAATTGGAGCTATGATAAGAAGCACATGAAAATTGTGTTTCAACAATTTCAAACTTTATAGCATATTCTGGTAAATAAAATACAAAACAGTATGCAAGTAGATACCATAGCATGTTATTATTGTAAAGCTATTAATTTCAGACGTGCCATCACAAAAAAGGCCAGTAACCAAATGGATATAGAATGTAACTAGGTACATTACTCAGCTGATTTAGACTAACATGTAGGAGCAGAAGTATGCCATTCAGCCTGTTGATTCTGCTCCACTATTCAATGAGATCAAGGGCTGATCTGATAAATCTCAACTCCACTTTCCTGCCTTCTCCCCAGAACCCTTGATTCCTTTACTGATTAAAAATGTCTATCCCAGCCCTAAATATACTGAACATCAGAACCTTGAAAGTCTTCCATGTTCAAAATTTGACAGATTGACCACTCCTAGAGAACAAATTCCTCAACTCTATTTTAAATAGGCAACCCCTTATTCTGCGATATTCTGGTTCTAGACTTTCACACAAGAGAAACAACCGCTCTGCATTATACCCTGTCAAGTCCTCTAAGAATCTTGTATATTTCAATGAGGTCACCTTCAAGTACAGGCCATTCCTCACTGGAATATGTATTTGCTGTGAGCCATGAACTATTTTCTTAAAATGTCTGCCATTGGCAGTAAAGCCAGTTAATGAACAAACTCCTTTCACAGTCCACTCCCATTAGCTCTGCCCACATTCCTTTGCAGAAATCATTATTTAAGCTTAGCACAGTTGTTTCTGACCTAAGTTCCTCCCCCTCAAACTGTACAGCTACTGTTCGGAGGCCTTTAGATTACTACTACCAGTACCTTCTTCCCCTTTCTGTTTGACCTCACCCAAATGGATTCGATTATTTCCAATTCAAGATCATTTCTTACTATTGTACTTATTTCATCACCCTTTCAAGGAATCAGATACTCCTGAATACTTTGTTCTCAGCTTTGATCTCCTTGTAACCATGTCTCCATAATAGTTACAAGATTAAACCTATTCACCTGTATTTGTGCAGTTAATTCAACAAAAAATACCTGGAATTAAGATGGTGTTGACTACTTGTTATGTTTATGGGGAGGCGATAGCCAGTGGTGTTATCACTGGACTATTAACCCAGAAACTCAGTTAACGTTCTGGGGACCCAGGTTCAAATCCTGCTATGGCCGATGGTGAAATTTGAATTTAAAAAAATATCTGGAATTAAGAATCTATTGATGACCACAAAATCATTGCCGATTGTCACAAAAACCCATCTGGCTCACAAATGTAGCATCCTCACCTGGTCTGGACTCTATGTGATTAGAGACCCACAGCACTGTGGTTGATTCTCACTCAGCTGTATCAATCACTACAAAGTCTCAACATAAAAATGAAACGGATGGACCACCTGGAATTGACCTAGGCACAAGGAAAAAACAAAGGCAGAAACTGCCTATTGAGCCTGCAAAGTCCTCCTTAGTAATGTCTGGCAGTTAGTGCCAAAATTGGGAGAGCTGTCTCACAGGCTAGTCAAGCAACAGCCTGAGATAACTTGTAATGTTTGACTCTATGTGTACAACTATGTCCAAGATATCACTTACCCCTGGATATGTCCTGTCCAACTCTATGACAGACCAGCAGAGGTGGTGGCACAGTGGTATACAGTTGGGAAGGAGTTGCCCTGGAAGTCCTCAACATTGATTCTGGACCCAATGAAGTCTCATGGCTGGAGGTTAAACACGGACAAGGAAACCTCCTGCTGATAATCACATATCATCCTTCCCTGGCTGATGAATCAGTACTCTTCAGTGTTGAACAACACTTGGAGGGTGGCAAGAATGCAAAACATACTCTAGGTGGGGGATTTTAACTTCCACCACCAAGAGTGGCTTAGCAGCAGCACTGCTGATTGTATCGGGTCCTGAAGGACATAGCTGCTAGAGCAGATATAGCTGCTTGCTCTCCCCTAGCCAAGCACTTCCAGCCCAATTACAACAACTACAATACTGGCATCTACCCAACAACGTGGAAAATTACCCAAGTATGTCCTGTACATGAAAAGCAGAACCAATCCAACCAGGCCAATTACCGCCCCAATCAACTCTCAATCATCAGTAAAGTGACAGAAGGTGTCATCAACCTGCTGAGTGACAACAGGGTTCCACCAGGTCACTCAGCTCCTGACTTCATTACAGCCTTAGTTCAAACACAGACAAAAGAGTTAAATTCCAGAGGTGACATGAGAGTGACAGCCCTTGAAATCAAGGCTGCATTCGACCTAGTGCAGCATCAAAGAACCCTAGCAAAACTGAAATCAATGGGTATCGGGGGCAAACTCCCTGCTGGTTGGAGTCATAACCGGCACACAGGAAGATGGTTGTGGATGTTGAATGTCAGTCATCTCAGCCCCAGGACTTCCGTGCAGGAGTTCCTCAGGGTAGTTGCCCAAGTCCAACCATCTTCAGCTGCTTCATCAGTGACCCTCTCTCCATCGTAAGGTCAGAAGTGGGATTGTTCACCTATGACTGCACAATGTTCAGCACCATTCATGACTCCTCAGATACTAAAGCAAACCATGTTCAATTGCAACAAGATCTGGGCAATATCCAGGTTTGGCCTGACAAGTAGCAAGAAACATTTGTGCCACACAAATGCCAGGCTGTGGCAAGCACCAATAGGAGACAATCTAACCACTGCCCCATGACATTCAATGCTGTTACCACCACTCAATACCCCACTATCAACATCATGGGGGTTATCATTGACCAAAAACTCATTTGCAAATCATGTTGCGGCTGTGTAAAATTTTAGTAGACAACACATTTGGAGTACTGTGTGCAGTTCTGGTCACCACACTATAACTAGGATGTGGAAGCTTTGGTAAGTGTGCAAAAGAGGTTTATCAGGATGTTGCTTGGATTGGAATGTATTAGCTATAAGGAGAAGTTGGACAAACATGGATTGTTTCCCTCGAGTGTCAGAGACTGAGGGGTGACCTGATAAAGGTTTAAAAAATTATGGGGGACTTGGATGGATATATCTTTTTCCCAGGTTGGAAATGTCAAAAATTAGGGAACATATGTTTAAAGTGAGGGGGGGGGAAGGGAAGATTAAAGGAGGAGTTGTGCAAGATACCTGGAACGTGCTTCCAGGGGAGCTAGTAGAAGCAGATATGACGGTGATGTTAAAGGGTTATTTAGACAGACACATAAACTGGCAGGGAATAGAGAGATATGGATCATGCACAGGCAGATGGGATTATTTTAGAATTGCATCATGGTCGGCACAGTCATAGTGGGCCGAAGGGCCTATTACAGTGCTGTACTCTTCTATGTTCAACAGGACTCAACAAGTAAACATATTGGCTGCAAAAGCAGGTCAGAGGCTAGAAAACTATGGCAAGTAACTCGCCTCCTGACTCCCCAAAGCTTACCCACAAAGCACAAGTCAGGAGTGTGATGGAACACTCCCCACTTGCCTGAACGGATGCAGCTCCAGCAACAATCAAGAAGCTTGATACCATCCAGGCCAAAGCAGCCTGTTTGACTGGCACCAAATCTACAAGCATCTACTCCCTCCACCA